CAGTGCTGGGATTACAGGCGTGCACCACCATGCCCGGTTTTGGTGGCAGTCATGCATGGTGCACCCGGAAATACTGTTTATGGGACACATTTGAAAATGTTATAAGGGCCGGCCAAATAGCTCAGCAGATTAAAGCATCTGCTTCGGCAGAGCACAGAGGCTGGGAGTCTGATCCCTGGGCCTGCCCTACTGGCTCCACCCCCAGGGCACACTGAGATGGCTATTGAGACTGGGCATGTGCAGGTGCCTGCAATCCCAGCACTTGGGAGGCTGTAAACAGGAGGATCACTACGAGTCTGCTCTGTGTAGTGAGACCCTGTAGACCCTGTCCTAAAATACCAAAAAAAAAAAAAAAAGTTATGAAATGAATTCATGATGATATTTTCATTCCCCGAGGCCCTACTCTCAGTTAACTTTCCTGGGATAGTTTACTTCATTTGGCCTCGATAATATCAAGTAAAATTGAATATCAGACTCTTTCACTATGCAGCTCAGACTCGCGTGATCCTCCTGTTTCAGCCTCCACAGAGCCGGGATAGCTCAGTGCACCAGGGGGCGAACTGGCGGGGCCTGTGGTGCTGGGGCACGAAGCCCCGTCCCTGCGCTTGCCTAAGCAGATGCTTAGTCCGCTGAGCTATCTCCCCAGCCCTAACTTTCAACATTTCCATCTATCCTTTCAGTAAATGAAAAAGCGATATTGACATTTGTCAGTATACAACTTACTTGAAAACCCAGACAACTGGCTGTTTATACATCTCTATGGTACTGATGATTCCTGTCTGAAGGTGGCGCCACTTAGTTGTTTTTGCCCTTTTAATGGTACAAAAGTGACACACATTCAGTAGAAACTGTACTTCAAGGTTTTTGTTTTGAGACAGTCTTGCTATGTATTCCAGGCTGGTCTTGAAATATGGGGATCCTCCTGCCTCAGCCTCCTGAATGCTGGGGTGACAGGTGGGCACCACCCCACTTGACTTGCACTTCAATTTTTTTTTTTAATTTTTTCTTAGTTCAATTGTTTTGAAACATTTTAATTTTCTGAATATTGCTTAATCTTAATTTTTATTTATTTATTTATTTATTGTGTGTGTGTGTGTGTGTGTGTGTGTGTAGCCAGCTCAGCCCACCAAGGGGCGGGGCTGGCTGGCATGTGGTGCTGGGGGATTGAACCAAGGTCCCTGTGCTTTGCTAAACTTGTTCTAAGTAGGTGCTTTAGACCACTGAGCCATTTCACCAGCCCCACACTTCAACTTTTGAGGTTTGTTCCCCTATGACCTGTCATGGCCACAGTTGGCCAGGGGATGGCCCTTGACAGTGTACCACTTTGCCAGCATTTTTTGTTTCTTTTTTTTTTTTTTAATTAACTTATTTTTATTTATTTATTTGTATGTGTGTGTGTGTGTGGCCAGCTCAGCCCACCAGGGGGCGGGGCTGGCTGGCATGTGGTGCTGGGGGATTGAACCGCGGTCCCTGCCAGCATTTTTTGGATACTGACAGTCAATAAATTACATGTGCTATTCAGCATTTTATTATTATCTTTTCTTTTTCTTTTTTTCTTTTTGGCAGAACCGGGGATTGAACTCAGGTCCTTGCGCTTGCCAGGGAAGCACTTATTCCACTGAGCCATCTCCCCGGCCCCTACCAGGAATCAAACTCAGGGTCTTGCGCTTGCCAGGCCAGCGCTTCCCTGTCAAAGACTCTAGGCGCCGATTTGCCCAGCTGTCGTTAATGCCAGCGGTCTCAGCACCTTTGTGGGGTGCTGGGCCAAGCCAGGACGTTGTATCAACTTGCAGCGTTTTCAACTTGAGGTTTCCAGGGTGTAGCCTAGCCGTAAACCAAGGAGCAGTTGTGTATCTCTGGTGAAGAGAGTATTACTCAGAAAAACTGAAGTTCTGACTGTGCCTCGTCCAACAGCGTGGCACTGCGTGAGGCAGGCGCAACCCGGCGTGCCTGCGAGCCCCGGACGCGCTGCGGGACCTCGAGGAACCACCGGGCACGCTGCTTTTCCACTCAGCAGGGCGGACAGAGATAGCCCCATCCTTAGTGGCTGCACTGTGGTGTGTGTTACGATGAAATCAAGGTACGTAGAGGTGGGAGAGCTCAGGAGGAGGAGG